ATATATATATATATATATATATATAATATGTTATATATATATGTTATACATATGTTATATATATGCAGTATAAATATGCTGTATATATGCAGTATAAATTAATTAATCTGAGTTCAATGAAATTTTTTCCCATTTAACCAGGCATGGGCGTGCTACCTCAATATTGGACTTACCTGATACTGCTGGCCAGTGCAGAGAATGAGATGATCATAGGGCACTTTTTTCTCCTTGGAAACTATTACATGTTTTGCAGTCCTGTTTATAGCAATCATTTTTCCAGCCACAACATTAATCCATGAACCAAGTGACATCAGTGCATAATCATCCTCATTAAAACAATAACTGTGAAGAAACAACAAGTTCATTTTAGTAATTGAATGTAATTATTAATTATATTATGGTAAATTGATTAAAATATCATAATCAAGTCTTCTTGCTCCCTTTCAGAAATTTTATTGTAGTTCGTAGTAAGGTATTGTATTACCCCACAGGAAAACACATGAATTGTAATGAAACAATAGGAGGTTCTTACATTTGCTGGTAAGAAAATAATCGATTAGCAAGAGGTGCAGATTGCTGCAGATACAGCTGTTACAAACCTAATGCATAAACTAGGGATATGCAACCGTGGCAACTTTTAAGATTTGTTGACTTCAATTCCCAGAATACCCTAGCCAGCCATGTGGGCAGATTTTAAGGTTGCCAAGATTGAACACCCCAGCATAAACAAAGTCTAGCTTAAACTCCACCCAGTTTTCTTCTCCATTTCTAAAATAGCTTCTTCTTATTCCATCTCTATTCTGTCCCCCCACTTTTTTGCTACTTTTGCTAAACAGAGGAAGAAAGAATTACCGAAGGCATTGCTATAGTTTTTAAAGGCCAAACAAGGATAGTGATTTAACAAACGACAATACCTGAAATCCATGACAAGGAGAGTACGAATGTTAGAAACTAAATTTGATTAACTCCTCATTTACTACAGTATATAAATATACTTTATAGCATCAGAAGTATATTTTACCATTATAAAATAATGTTTATATCTGTCTTTTTGGCAGTACTGAAAATACTCCAAACAAACCTGTTAATTAAAAATGCCTTATGCAGATTATTTGATTTATCTTTCCCTGGAAGGCCATGAGCTGAAATCAATGTAAGATTGTTGAATTTCAGGTGTGGGCTACAAAAAAACAGAAGACCAAAATGTTATGTAAATTTACTTCAGCTATTTTTAATTCATATTATTCATAAGCAATTGAAATGTCAATTAAGTTGTTTTTTGATGCTCAGAAATCATGTATCTTATGCAAATATGCATCAGTATTTATATCAACTTTCATAAACTATTTTGATGTCAATAATAGTAGTAACAGTTAGTGATAGCTGCTGCTAGACATAGTCCTTGACTTACTGTTGTTTGCTTAATGATGGTTTGGATTAATGATGGCCTCTGAAACAATCATTTACAACCTAAATCTGAACTTACAAATAATCATATGGTCACAATTCAGGTACTTGGCAACTGGCTTGCATTTATGACTGGTTGCAGTGTCCTGTGGGCATGTGATTATGATTTGCAACTTTTTTTGTCAATTTCCCCCCAAAACATCACTGGTTAATCTGGGTTTGCATTTACAATCACATGACTTAACTTATGACTCAACTTACAACCATGGTGACTCAATTTAGGACCATTGTAAAATGATTGTAAAGGCAAGCCTGGTCATGTGATGCCTTGTGACCGCAAAGACTTACGATGGAAATTCCAGTCTCAATTGAGGTCACGTTGAGGACGACCTGTATTATCACCGTCTTTATAATCATCATTTATACATCTAATTGCTAATGTGAATGCTTAGGTTTGGAGTGAAAGGAAATAATATTGAATCAAATAAAGGGACTTCTATTTTGAAAATATCTGTTTCATCTTCCTTAAAAGTAAATCTGGACTAACAAATCTTCATCAATTCTCAGGTTTTTTTCCTGTGTCACTCAAAACTGTGACCTGCAATGTTGTATTATGTGAATAGGTTTGATCAAACAAATGGAATCAAGTTGTACTCTAAGAGGAAAACATCTGCTGGTAAAACTTTACTTTAGCTGATTTTCAGAATTCCGGAATAGCCTTGCCTACTTTCTGGGATAAGTATTCAATAGAATGCAAGTTGTCCTAATGTAAAAAAAGGATGGACAGCAACCAAAAAGTAATTTTTACAGGATGATTTGTTAATTCTGGTACTCACAATAATTTATGGGTTTCTGTATTTGTTACATTTATATCCCATCTTTAATAGAAGCTCAAGACAGAGTGCAAAGTGCTTTATTCTAAGGGGAGGAGTTTTGTATCAAAGCCAGTTTGGTGTAGTTAAAAAGCATCAGGCTACAAACTGGGAAACCCTAAGTACTAGTCCCTTCTTAGACCCAAAGTCAGCCTTGGGCCAGCTGCTCTCTCTATCTTTGGAATGAGGAAATTACAAACCACTTCTAACCACCTTGCCAAGAAAACTGTAGAGATATAGGTAATATCTGAGAATCATTGAACAGGGAGAAAAAGGATAAAATTTGTTCATCCCTGGTTAGAAAAATAGAAAAGAAATAAAGGAAAAATATAGTTATGTATAAAACATGGATATTTCATTTCTTTTTCAACTGCATGGGAAGCAAAAGTGATGAACACAAAAATTTGAAGCTCAAGTAATGCTAGTTTACCATTACATTTTAAAGGCCCTCTAACCTTCATGCAAACCAGGAATTCATTTATGCTTTCCTTGTATACCACGGGAGGTCTGTATAAAGGAAGTCCAAGAAAAACTTATGTGCCTTTTTTCAGATCTTATAGTTCCTGTAATTGCCCAAATTCTGAAATTTGCTATGAAAACTGCAAGGTTTAGAAAACTAGCTAACTCAAGATCAGTAAAAGTTTCAAAAACAGCACCATCACAGATCACATGTCTATGGTTTTATTAAGGTAAATATACAGGTGAAACTCAAAAAATTAGAATATCGTGCAAAAGTTCATTTATTTCAGTAATGCAACTTAAATGGTGAAAGTAATATATGAGATAGACTCATTACATGCAAAGCAAGATAGTTCAAGCCGTGATTTGTCATAATTGGGATGATGATGGTTTACAGCTCATGAAAACCCCAAATCCACAATCTCAGAAAATTAGAATATTACATGCAATCAATAAAACAAGGATTGTACATAGAACAGTATCGGACCTCTGAAAAGTATAAGCATGCATATGTACTCAGTACTTGGTTTGGGCCCCTTTTGCAGCAATTACTGCCTCAATGCGGCGTGGCATGGAAGCTATCAGCCTGTGGCACTGCCGAGGTGTTATGGAAGACCAGGATGCTTCAATAGCGGCCTTCAGCTCTTCTGCATTGTTCGGTCTCATGTCTCTCATCTTTCTCTTGACAATGCCCTCTATGGGGTTCAGGTCAGGCGAGTTTGCTGGCCAATCAAGCACAAGTAATGCTACGGTCACTGAACCAGGTTTTGGTGCTTTTGGCAGTGTGGGCAGGTGCCAAGTCCTGTTGGAAAATGAAGTCAGCATCCCCATAAAGCTCGTCTGCAGAAGGAAGCATGAAGTGCTCCAAAATTTCCTGGTAGACGGCTGCATTGACCCTGGACTTAATGAAGCACAGTGGATCAACACCAACAGATGACATGGCTCCCCAAATCAACACAGCCTGTGGAAACTTTACACTGGACTTCAAGCATCTTGCAGTGTGTGCCTCTCCATTCTTCCTCCAGACTCTGGGACCTTGGTTTCCAAATGAGATGAAAAAGTTGCTCTCATCAGAAAAGAGGACTTTGGACCACTGAGCAACAGACCAGTTCTGTTTTTCTTTAGCCCAGGTAAGACGCTTCTGATGTTGTTTGTTGTTCAGGAGCAGCTTGACAAGAGGAATACAACATTTGAAGCCCATGTCCAGGATCCGTCTCTGTGTGGTGGCTCTTGATGCACTGACTCCAGCCTCAGTCCACTCCTTGTGAAAGTCCCCAACACTTTTGAATGGCCTTTTCCTGACAATCCTCTCCAGGTTGTGGTCATCCCTGCTGCTTGTGCACCTTTTTCTTCCACTTTTCCCTTCCACATAACTTTCTATTAATGTGCTTTGATACAGCACTTTGGGAACATCCAACTTCTTTTGCAATTACCTTTTGAGGCTTTCCCTCCTTATGGAGGGTGTCAATGATGGTTTTCTGCACAACTGTCAGGTCAGCAATCTTTCCCATGATTGTGATTCCTACTGAACCAGACTGAGAGACCATTTAAAGGCGCAGGAACCCTTTGCAGGTGTTATGGTTTAATTAGCTGATTAGAGTGGGACACTTTGAGCTTAGAATATTGAACCTTTTCACAATATTCTAATTTTCTGAGATTGTGGATTTGGGGTTTTCATGACCTGCAAGCCATAATCATCTCAATTATGACACATCACGGCTTGAACTATCTTGCTTTGCATGTAATGAGACTATCTCATATATTAGGTTCACCTTTTAAGTTGCATTACTGAAATAAATGAACTTTTGCCCAATATTCTAATTTTTCGAGTTTCACCTGTATAGAATTTCATTAATTAAAGAACAGCAATAAAGCATAGTCATATACAATCTTTACATGTCATTAAAAAAATAACAGCTTAAAAAAGTAACCTCATGCCAAATTTTCCAGCTCAGATATATTAGTCAATGGAATTGAATTGAATATTTTATTTGGCCAAGTGTGATTAGACACACAAGGAATTTGTCTCTGGTACAGAAGCTCTCATTGTACATGCAAAGCAACAGAATGATGATAACCATAGTAACAATACTAATAAGAGGGAGGAGTAAAAAGGATAATAAGAAATAATAATTCTACAGCCATATTACTTGGGTAAATACACACAGACATTAAGACAGCACTGTGAGAATTAGGTGTTCAGCAGAGTGATGGCCAGAGTAAAAAAATCTGTCTTTGTGTCTAGTTGTTTTGGCCTGCAATGTCCTGTAGCACCATCTCAAGGGGAGGAATTGAAACAGTTTATGTCCAGGATGTGAGGGGTAATATATAGGTCTATGGAAGACAGGCCAGTTGCAGTTATTCTTTCTGCAGTCTTAACTATCCACTGGAGTCTGTACTTGGTCTGTTTAGTTGCTGTACCAAAGCTGAAAGTTACAGATGTACATATGACAGATTCAATAATTGCTCTGTAAAACTGTATCAACAGCCCCTGGGGCAGTGAATTTCCTGAGTTGACGCAGAAAGAACATTCTTCATTGTGTCTTTTTAATTATGATTCTTGGAACAATGTAAGATTCCTAGTGTCTGGTGAAAGGCTAAAATTGTTGCAGTTTTAAAACCAGATAAAGGGTCCAATAACCCTAAGAACTATCGTTCGAGTTCTCTCTTGTGCCATACTTACAAAATCTTTGAAACAATGGTACAAAATCACCTCACTATAACTGTAGAATCCCTTTTCATACTGCAGCAGGCTGGATTTCACCCTAAAAAATGTTGCACCACAGAGATCATAAATTTAACCCAGTATATCCAACTTGGATTCCAAAAAGACAATGTAACAGGAACTAATTTCTGGGCAAGATCTGTTTAATTTTTACATAATTTAATCTTGTATTTTATATTTTAAATGTAAGTCATAGAGTATTCCTTATTTTAATTGTGATGCTTCTGACACAAATAAACAAATGATGGTTCTAATGTTAAGTGGTCATTTCAAGTCCTGGGAGATTATAGAATCCAAAAATTTGAAGGACTCTACTGTTGATACTGTGCCATTAAATATGGTAAAAGATGGCAAAATAGAAGGGTTCCTCCTAAAATCCAGTTTCATCTCTACAGTTTTAAGAATATTCAGTTTCAGTTGTTATGGCTCTGCAACCTTCAAAACTTTAACAGAGGGTTCCCTCGAGGCACAGTCATAAATTGAGATTACAGATAAATGTCTATGCAATGAGATACATTTACTCTTATTTGTTTCTCTTATACAGTATTTAGTGATTGATAAATAGGTATATTTTTCAATTTGTTCAGATCCAAATTTGCTTAAATCAGATTGGATTCCTAAGGTGATGTGAAAATTCAGCTCTTGCTCTCTTTATCAGTCAAGGTTTTAATATTTTTCAGTCAGCAATTAAGGCTTTCTCATTCAATTTTTTTGTTT